CCCGCCATCCCCGCGAGGCCCGCCCCGCCGGAAGTCCCGGCCCCACGCCGGAAGCTCCGCCCTACGGGAACGCCCCCTTTCCCACAAAGAAGCCACGCCCCGCTAGTGAAGCGCCGCCCCTCGCGCAAGCTCCGCCCCCAGAGCGCCAGACACGGGTGATGGTTAAAAAAATTTCGGGTTTTATTGTTTTTGCTAAACAATACTAAAAAATTTTCCTTTTTTTTTTTAAATTTTTTTTTTTTTTTACTTTTTAACTCTTCTAAAGGCAGGGCTTGAATTGTTTGATTTTGATCCATTTATTTTAAAAAACAAAACAAAAAAAGGGAGGGGGGAGGATCATGGAAAAAAAAAAAAAAGAAAAATTAAAAAAAAATTAAAAAAAGAGGGGAAAAAAAAAAAAAGAAAAGGAGGGAAAAAACCCAACCCAGGCCCCAGCATGGCACCCGGGTGGGGGGTGGTGGGGCAGGGAGGGGCCACAGCCCCCCCTCACCCTGCACCCGAGCCCCCCTCAGGCTCCCCGGGCCCGGTGGGGTGGGAGGGTGGGGTGGGGGGGAGTGACAGTGAGGGTTTTTTTGCCACGATCCTGGTCAAGAAAACTGCTAGAAGCAGAAAATATTTAAAGAACATTTTAATATATATTCATATATATATTTAAAGATAAGAAAAATAAGACTAATTCAAGCCTTGCCCTGTGCAAACAAAATTAAAACGAGACCGCGCTGGTCACAAGGGTCCCGGTTCGGCCACCGCAGTCAGCTCGTTACTTTTATTTTTGGAGGGGTTGGTGGGCAGGGGGACGGGCAGGGGGAGATCCTCCTATAGGACAGGCAGAGAGGGGGTACATGGGGTGACAGACCCCCTTTAGAAAAGTAAAGGGGGGGGCGGGGTTGGCAGCAGGGGAAAGGGGGGAGGAAAAAGGAAAAGAAAGGTCAAAAAATAAAACTAACAAAGTCTGACTGGCTGGTAGGAAAGAAAACATGGCGGACAAAAGAAAGTCTGTTAGTCAAGTAATGCATGAGCTTTTAAATTATTCTCTTTTCTCGTTTGTTTTAAAGTCTAAGGTTTGGAATCGGTTGAGCTCCCCATTAATGAGCTCGAAAAAGGAAATAAAAGTTGAACCCCCCGCCGCCGCCCTCCCGCCTCCGGTGGTGGCTCGGTGGCGGGGCGGCGGGGGAGTCCCCGGCGCCGGGAGGTGGGCCTCAGGACGAGAGGGAGGTCTCCTTCTGTGTCTGCTGTGCTTGTGAACGCTGCATTACCTTTTGGCTTTCCACGTCTCGAAAATGTTTCTCCACCTGCCAGCGGGGAGGATGGGATGGACAGAAAGAGGGGTTTAGCGAAGGCAGGGTGGGCAGGGGATCTGCAGCAGGCAGGCGAGCCCACCCAAGGAGGGACCACGGGTGTCCCCAGGGATGTGACACCCTCCCGGCGTCCCCAGTGCCACCAGACCCCCCTGCCCGTACTCACTATTTTGCGTACGTGACTCAGCGCGCTTCCCTCTTTGCCTTTACAGTTTTCCACTTGATAGGGAGGGGCGATAACGACTTCTTCCATCACAACTATGTTCTTCTCCTGCCATTTACAGTCCTTAATGCTGCAGGGAAGGGAAAAAGGGTCAGTGAAGGCAACTGCCTGGGGCTCTGGGCTGCGCTCCCGCATCCCCCAGCCCCTCTGAAAGCCACCACCCAACCCCAGCATGGTCCCACCACCCACCTCAGACCCACATCTCGCTGAGGAGGTGACGTGGGTGCAAAAGCCACCCAGTACCTCCTGGGTACCCAACCAGAGATGGGTGCAAGCCCGCAGGGACGGGCACGCCGCTGGTGCATGCCAGGAAGAGGCAGGGATCCAGCAGGCAGCCATCCTGCCCCCGAGGACTGCGCGGCTCTGGTCGGCATGTCCCAGGACACGCTGGCAGCATTTCATGGTGACGCCAAGGGACAAGGCAATGCAAACCCCTCCCCGGGCTACACAGGGATACAAGCAACTCCCAGCCAGCAGCGTGGGGGGCCGAGGCAGAGCGCAGGAGGCACCGGTGGGACTGACGAGGGGACTTACGTCTTATGTATAGTCTGGAAGAGCTGCTGCCCCTCCAGAGAGACACCAGCACTAATTGCATACGCCTGGCTCATCTTCTCTTCCTTCTCCGTCCGCGCTTTGTTGGCAAGCTGGAGGGGAGACAAAGAGAGAGGGAGCTCAGCTGAGCATCACCGGAGCGGCCATTAGAGCTCCAAGGGGACGCAGGTCCCACTCACAGATACAGCTCTGCTGCTCGCTGTCCGGCTCGCCAATTAAATCAGGGTAACGATGAGCGTGCAATCTCCACCCTCCCACTACACCTTTCTCCGCACATCCCAGAGTGCCGCAGGGATTTCACGCCACGGCCTAATTCCTTTTTGAGTCACCGTCACCACTGTCTGCGTCCCCCTGATATTTTGGGGATGTGGGCACTGTCTTTTCGCATGCCCCTGTTCAGGCACAGGGAAGAAATCAGCTGCCAGGGGTCAGACGCATGCACATCAACTTCCCCTCTGCCTTCTCCAAATTAATTGCTGCATTTTACATCCAAACCACCTTCCACTGCTTGCTGTTTACTCAGGGGGTGAGGATGGGAAAGACAAGCCCAGAACAAACATTACATTAGGGCTTGTGGGGTGTAAAAGCCTCCGTACAGACCACGCAGAAGTATGAGCAACTTTATCCTGGAGCAGTTACTCTGTTCCAAATAAAAAAAAATTAAATAAAATAAATAAAAAAGCAGAATCAGTTATTTGGGAGTCACCCCGGCAGCACACAACATCCGTGTGTGGGGAAGTGTGATTACACTGGCAGGGTCCTGGAGTAGAGAGGGGAAACCCCAAGCCTGGCATCCCTTGTGTTAAATCCCACAGCCACAGGAGGAGAAGGAGCTGCAGCTGCCTGGAGGCAGGATACGGGCAGGCGGCGCTGGACCAGCTGCCTTTCCTCAGCTGGAGCTGCCGCAGTGGAAGAGCCACATTAGCATTGCCGCCCACGCCAGCCCTCCTCTTCCTCCTCCTCACGCCTGCAAGCGCTCCCCAAGCCAGGCCGGCTTTCTCCGTGCTGCGTGAGGACGGCTTCACCCTTTCTAAAGCCCTCTCTAGGTACGGAAAGCCTGAGTTCCCACTGAACGGGGGCACTTTTTGTAGCAAATAATGCCAGTAAGGGACAGGCTTCCCTATCCCAGCCAGCCCATCTCCTGAAACAGCAGCCACCAGGCAGACACAGCCCATTGCACCTCCTCTCCGTGCCCAGGTGAGAGGGGTTTGCTGCTGCAGCATTCGTTTGCTCACCATGTGCTCCTCAGCCTCCTGGTGAGCAAGGCAAGCCTTAACAGGGGTACAGGATCCTTTCTTTGCCCCAGCACAAGCTGTCTCTGAAGCCACTCACCCCACTCCACGTAGGAATTGCTCTCTCCAAGACCACCAGTCAGGCTTCCAGACTGGTTTGGAAGACTGGACGCAACATTCCCCAGTAACCTTCCTGCATCCAAGTCGTGCACGCGACCACCAGCCTTCTCTGGGGCTGCACCAACACTTCACCCGACCAGGGCTACCTCCCGAGGCCAGCATACCTGGTTCTCAGCCGGCTCTATTGCCTGTGCCAAAGCATCCCCTCTGTCACGATGCGGATGGGCTGGAACTGCGGCACGAAGCATATGAACTGCCTCTGCCGTGCCCACCACGGGGTCACCCCCAGCAAGATCTCCTTCCCACCCAGCAGCCCATTCCCTGCAGCAGGGTTCATAGCACAGACCATCGCAGGGTGCATATGAAGTTTAGATCTGCTTTGGCCATTTTTAAAACTCGCTTTACCAGGCCTTGGGATGCTCCTCCTGCTCAAATCAGCAGCTGCATCAGCTCCTCCTTCCCTGCCCGCTCACATGCAACTCCCAGGAGAGATGTGCACGCCGAGGCAGACAGGTCCAGCTTTGGGACAACCCTGCGAGGAGGCAGGTGACAAGACGCCACCGCAAGAAGACAGGGAAACCCCAGAGAGGTGCGGGCGAAGAGCAGCCCCTCATGTACTGCCATCACGGGCAGCATCCCAACATTACTTCATCAGGCACTTCTAGACCCCAGGATTAACAGCACCCAGCAAGGCCCAACCTCATCCTCCTGCTTCTAGCTGGAGTACATCAGCCCTCACCTAGAGCTGACTCACACGCAACATTGGTTAGTTTATTAACCGAGTGCCAAGATCCAGGGTCCCTTCGCTCTTGTCTTTCCCCTGCAATAGGATGTGCTCTCCCTATTCATCACCGCTAACCCCAGACAAGAAACCAATCAGACATGCTGAGCCTCCAACTTCCAGCCTCCCGATCCAAGCATTCAAAATAGCCCCCTTGTTCCCAGCATGGCCCCTGCCACCGCACAGCTTCACGCCCCCCTGCAGCGAGCACCCGAAGGCACCAGGGCTATTGAAGAGACTCGGATACGCACCTTGTGCAACAGCGGCATGAATGAATGAGTCACTTCCCTATTCACGTCCGTATGAATGACGGAAAACGTGGCACGCGGCAAGAAGAGCCGGTGAGGGCCACCGAGCACCATGCTGTGGCCACCAGCATGGCCCCCCTGTCCTGCTTGCGTGCTGACAGCCTGGTGAGCAGAGCCAAGCATGGTGTACCCCAGGCGGCAAGTCAAAGGGATCCCTCCAAAACCAGGCAGCTGACCTCTCCCCAGCATGGATACAGATGGTTCTGCCACGCAGCTGAGCGCTGTGCCAAGGTCCCCCAGCAGATGCCAGCCCCACAGGGCAGGCTGGTGTCCCCAGAGGTACCAGTGTGGCCCCAGCCTCTTCAACGACATCTCCACTCCATGCCCATCACTAGCAGCAGGAAGCTTCGAGCTCAGCTGTATCTGGACTGAACCGCTGCCTGCTCTCCGTCACTCCGGTGTTACCTCCTTGCCGGCCCCTCAGCTGCTAGAGCAGAGCCACACAGCTGCTCCCTTCCTGTGCCCTGGTTCAAAAGCATTTCTCCCCCACAATTTTCACCCTGCATCCCTCCTGAAGCCTCCCCCAGAGGAGTCTGCGGTGCGGTCAGGACACCTCTCCTGCAGCAGCCTCATGACAGCTACCTGCAGCCAACAACCCGCTCTCCTCCTGCCCGCACCTTCCACCGCAGCCAGCCTGCACCCCTGCGCCCTTCCAGCAAGGGCTAGGACCCCCACCAGACTGGACCCCCCACAACTGGATCCTGCTGCCTTCCAAGCCCAGCAAGTCTTCTGGTCCCAACATTTTCTCTCCACTGAGGACCAGGCAGGGCTGAGCATCTCCTGGGGGCTCTGCTTGTTCTCCAAGGCCTTCCAGAGCAGCAATAGCTTGCCCCAGAGCACCACAAGCATTCCTGCATGCCAACAGTTCCTTCCTCCAGTACAACCAGTATCAGCTCATCTATATTCCAGTCCTGCAGCACCAGTGGACACCAGCTTGCCTGCACATTCACAGGAGAGGAGACATGGGTCAGAGCAACATGGAAAAAACCTCCTGCCACTGGAGATGGGGACTGGTGGCTGCACACCGACTTCCATCCACTGAAGATATGACTTGATTCATTATTTTACCCCGCACCAAATCCACAGCAATTATTCTGATGCCGGAAAGACTGAAGCGAGTATTTGAAGTCACAAGGGGCGTTTTCCCCTCAGCAGACCCATCCACCAGGCTTGGCTCCCAACGATATCACTTGACGCAATTAGAACGAACAGTAGTATCTTTACGGCAGTTGTGTCATTTGAGACCTCTGCCAACGTGCTGATCCACAGAGAAGGAACCCATGGGGGCTACGGACACTCAGGTGGTGCCACCCATGCAACACTGACCTGCAGGCAGAGTCTGCCTGCCAGGAGAGGAGGTTTCCCTGTGGGATGAGGAGGTGACAACTGAGAAGCCCCACAGCCAGATCCCACACCCGGCTTCCCTGGAACCTGGCTGTCTCCAGCCACCTCACACCAGCATTGAGGACTCAGGTTCACCTTCCCTTTTTTTAACACCATCACTGGGAATCAGAACCAATCCCCATCCAGAAGGACATATGAAAAGCAGTTCCTCAAAATTCAACAAACTGCATGCGTGCTTCAGCGCTCCTGTCCAAGCCCCTCCTGTTCGACTTCACCCCAAATCATTCCATTTCTGAAGATGACCAACATCTGCTTGGAGAGGGGGCTGCAGGCAGAGAGGGCACCCACTGAAGCACAAACCTCGTCTACAATCATCCACAGGAGCACAAAAAGTGCTCTAGCAAATTCTTAACCTGGGGTCATGGGAAAGAGGACCCAGGAGGAGCAGCACGGGCTCAGGTAAGCAGAGTACCGGCTTCAGCCATGCCCATCTTCTCTGGAAGGTTTTGATTTGAGCATTTGAGTCATTTGCTGTCAGGAGAAAAACCTGTTGCATGTTTATGAAAGGTTCCATCCTCCCTTTTCTCTGGCCAGCGAAGCACCATATCCCTCTACCAAAGGTGCTGGAGCGGCTGCAGAGCCAGGAGGACCTGAGAGCACTGGACTTTTCCTGAGTGAAAAGGTGCTTTGCAGCCTCAATGTTACTAAAAACACTCCAGAGGTCCTGACACTGAAATTCTCGGTCAGCATTTCAGGCAGCAACTTGCACCCACTTGCCAGCACAGAAATCCACATTTACTCCTGTCACAGGAGGCCAGTAAGCAGCAGAGTGGCCTCCGAAGAGGGTACAGGGCTTGGCACAGGGCAGAGCTGTTCACCGAGCTCCTGGTACACACCTTCAGTGCTTTAACAGGAAGATGAAGCATCACCCAGGCAATTAAATCTACATGGCAGGACCACACTGGTAACTCCAGCCAACACTGGAGCAAATACAGTGTAAATACAGACAGGCACCCAGGGGAGCAGAGGGCGGCAACAGGACCAGCTCCCCACTGGAACACAGTGCCCAGCACCTCATTCAAACTCACAAGGACTGTCCCTTAGATGAAATAAAGCTGGGACTTCCCTCTTCCTCGCCCAGGACCTCAGCTCCCTCACTGAGCAATCCCAAAGCAGAGAGTGTCAGCCAGCTGCGGCCTCACTACACAAACCCCAGCAGCAGGTCACGGAGCCTCAACACACCCAAAATATCATCATTTAAACCCTTAACAGAGCCACGGTAAGTCGTGATTGAAGTGGGTGATTTAAAGTTTAAAAGCTGCCTTGTCCCCAATAGGGAGTTCCCCACACAAATCCCTCCCTCCCAGGAGCCCACGAGGGCAGGTTCTTACCTTGCTAACATTGAGTGAAGCTAAAGGAGGAGGCGTTCCTGTGCGGTCGTTGATTATTTCCACTTCTGAAACATACTGTAAGTTTACAAGCAGGATATCTGCGTGATTAGGCTTTCCACTGGAAGAGGGGCATTCTGGAGGGGAAGAAACATTAAGGAAAACAAATCCAGACGGAGACGTTTACAGGCCTGATGCACAGAGCTGTCCAGGAGCAAACTGGGAGAACATTTGGTTTTCAGCGAGTTCCTCCACTGCCCCTGCTCAGCCAAGCACAGGATCATCTGTGAGACCCCGACAACACCACCCATCTCTTCTTGGGCCCATTTAATGCTGATTCAGTTTTCCTGACTAAAGCACAAGGTTTTCAAGCCAATAACTGCTGTACCCAGAACACACACAGCCTGGGAAGCTGCATGGTCTCCTCCGAAAAAGCAAGTTAGTCCTGACTAGCCGGAGAGGTGCAGAGGTGCCGCTGCCAGGACCCCAGCTGCAGTGCTGCCTGCTTCCCTGCTTGCCACAAGCACCAGCCTACAAATGCTGGTCTGCACAGGGAAGTGAACCAGAACAACCACCCCACCTCAAATTTGAACCATTTATACCATAACTATTTCCTCTTCCAGGCAGCGGCTAAGCTGGAGCCTCCCCAGGAGCAGTCCCTAGTGCGGATGGAAGAGGAGCTACTCGGTGGCTCCCTGGGAAAGGCCTCCTCGCCCTCGCACACCTCCCGGGCAGCACCTCGAATGCAGCAAGGTTTGTTGTGGTCGGTATCGCAGCAAGACTGGAAAGTGTAAATGAGACAACAGTGCACCACCCCCAGAAAAAAAAAACCTTCCAGAGCTGACATTAATTCCTGTGCAATCTGTCCCCCAGGAGGCTGCGTTGTTAGCCCTCCGCTCCCTCAGCTGCTGGAAGGAGCAGAGAGCATGGCACAGAGAGCCTCTTCCACACCAACGCCATCTCCTCCTTGGAGGAGATACTCACAGAGGTCACTTTTCCTCTCCTCCTGTCCCCCTGAGCCCAGCTGTGTAGGTGAAGTCCTCCCTAGCAAACGCCTTTCAATAAAGGAGAGAAAACAAGGGATTCCTGGGGAACTCCAGTCTCTTCCTTCGGGGGGATGAGATTGAGCATCCCAGCTTTGGGAGGAAGAGACAGACTTTGGGCAAAGCCAGAACAGGAGCTCTCAGCCCTCTCCAGAGCTGGCTGGCAGCACGACGCCCTAAGCTGACCTGTTGGACATTATTTAAGACTTTCCTGCAGCCTCCACTTGGGCCTGGGGAGCTTCCCCCTGCCAAACCGCACCAGCACAAACAGGAGCGCAACCTGGGACAGGTGCCCAGTCCCGCTCCAGAACCGCATCACTCCCAGGCACCCTACAGGGCTTTTCCTATCACACTTCTCACAGATGCATCCTCCAGACACCAGCCCCTCTCACAGCTCCTTCATCACTCATTCATTCCCTCCAGAACCCATCCCTGGGGCCCCAAGCATTTATTTCTCCAGCTCCCTTCCAACAGCAGTCCCTGGGCTGAGCATCCACCCTCCTGAACTCTCTGCAGTCCCTCTGCTGTTCTCCAGCAGCCCTTTGCTTTCAGTCCACTTGCAGATTAAAAACGAAAGCATGCCCTTTTTTTCCCACACGCATATATATATCTCTATGTTAAACCCCCAAGCACTGCCTTCTTGCCTCTCCTCTGCACGAGGCTCAGGGCAGCCCCAGACCCTCCCGTCCCCTTCGCTCCCCCAGCCACAGGGCACTTCTCCTGGCATACCCACCGGCCCTCCTCACCCCCCCAGGCCTGCCCCTGCCCTCCTAGAGGGCTCCCCATCCGTCCAGGCCTGCCCCATAGGGTTCCTCTCACAGGGGTCCCCAAATCCCTCCTAAACCCCACTACCCTCAGAGGGCCTAGCCTTGCCTCCATGGTCTTCCCTTAAATCCCCACAGCCCACTGAGACCTCCCCCTCCTGCCCCAAACCCCACAGGGGTCCCCTGAACCTCAATACACTAATATTTCCTATGGGCTCCCATCCCCCCAGGTCTCCCTCATCCTCCCTAAACCCCACCAGGCCCTGCCTGCCACACAGGACTTCACTGTGCCTCCAAGGCCTCCCTCTGCACCTCCAAAGAGGTACCCATCCCCCTCCCAGGAACCCCCCAAGGCTCCTCCTACCCTCAAGATCCCCCCAGTAAAGAGAGCTCCCCCCTTCCAGGACTCCCTCATCCTCCCTGAAGCCCACAGGGTGCCCCTGCCCACCCCAGGACCTCACCACATCTCCAAGGCCTCCCCTAACAACCCCACAGCCTGTTGTGAGACCCCCATCCCCAGGCCTCTATGGAGCTACTCACTCCCCTCTAGAACTCTCCTATATGGCACTCACCCCCAATTATTCCACTGTAGGGCTCTCCCACTCCCCAAGAACCCCACTCTGGGGCTCCTCACTCCCCCAAAAAACTCCCTATAGGGCACTCCCCTCCCGATAATCCCACTAAAGGACCCCTCACTCCCCCAAAAACCACCCTGCAGGGTGCCCA